AGACCCTAGCTCACATCCTGCCAACTTTCGCGTAGCCTGCTTTGACCTTTACTGATTGCTCTCTTCTTTAACTCGCCATAATTGTTGTACATGTTAATCAAATAAACCTTGTTGTATTTTAGTTTGCTGTTGTTTCTTTCTTTTCTCTCCGTATATAAAATCCCGAATGCAAAAGTAATGCCTTTTTCCCTACTGGAACATTCTTAAGAGGTAATTTTTTCGTGTGTGTCTTTGACAGTGTCTTGTATCGTGTCTCCCCAAATAAAAGGTGAGATTTCTTTTCTACTATTAAAATGACCTCTCAGAGAAGAGGGAGCTGTCTTATAGTCAAGCCCTTATGAAATTTCTTATAGATCGTTTTCTCTTACACAAAAATGTGTTGATTGTAGAAGCCCCAGTTATTTTCCTATAACCCAAATTCCTGTTTTTGGAGTCACTGAAAGATCATCTGATAGGATTGTTGTTGTTTTTAAAGAGAAAAGGAAGTTTATACCAGGTTAATATTTCTTGGAGAGGGGTTAAAAACCTGCAAATGTTAGAGATGCTTAGAGAGTAAGTAGGTAAGTGGTTTTGTTGTGGAGATAAAAACACAGAGGTGTAGAACCGGTGGAAAAGCAACCAACTTTACCCAGATTCTTATTGAAGGCATCTCCCATGCATTCAAAAAAGTGTTGTATCTCAAATAGCTAGAAGTAAAAATAATGTCTTCCATCTCTACAGGTGGTAGTCATGATAAGTCATTGTGCAGAATTTAAATAAAATGGTTGCATAAAATGTGCAAGTGGGGCAAACCCCCAAATCTAAATTTTGATATTTGTACTTAATAGGTAATTCAGAGTGTGTGTTCCTAACCAAATTAAAGTTTAAATACTATAAGCCGGCATGGACATTTCTTCAGCATCCCTGAAAATTAATTTGCTGTTTGAATATTTTGTCCACTCCCTAAACATCTGTTTATTTTACTTGGAGGAATATACATTTTGAATCTTTACTTGGACAAATAAGAGATCATTATTATTTTTTTTTTAAAGATTTACTTATTGTAGAGAGAGAGGGTGAGTGCGTGCGCAGGAGAGCAGGCAGGGGAGGGGTGAAAAGGAGAGAGAATCTCAAGCAGACTCTGCACTGAGCGCAGAGCCTGATGCAGGGCTGGATCTCATGATCCTGAGATCACAACCTGAGCTGAAACCAAGAGTCAGCCCCTTAACTGACTGTGCCACCCAGTTGCCCCAAATAGGAGACCATTATAAACAGGCTTGCTTTCTCTTTGGGCATATAGGATATGTATTCTGTGTTATCCAAGGTGTAAGACCTCCAGGCTAGAGGAGGTGGCATGTTCTACACTTGCTTGTATAGAGGAGCTGAGGAAGTGCTTGGAACGGAAGAACTCATAAATGCTGATTCTTAGGAGCAGAAGCTTTCAAGACATAACTCAGGTGTGATTCTCTGCTGAAGCCTTCCCTGATGTCTTCTTCCTCCTGTAGAGGAACTGACCACTTACCTTGCCTCACCATGCTGTCTGACCCTGCTCTGCACTTCTAACCGACCTGTCTGTGCTTGTCCTCTACACTGTGACGTCCTGAGGACAGGGATCATGGCTGATTTGTCTTAGACCTTTAGGTAGGTACCAAAATGGTGCACTGGAATGGAGCACTCATGAACTTGAATGACTGCAGAGGAGTGTAGTCCCAGCTCTTGCTCAGATTTAGGTAAGATTAGATAGTTGTAGGTAAGATTAGGTAGGTGTAGGTAAGATTGTTCAAGATATCCCTTGTTAGCTAAACTCTCATTACTTACCCTCTGAACATCAAGGACCAGAAACATTTGGATTTCCTAGCGGTGTTCACTGTTGGAGCCCTAGGAACTGGACATAAAAAGCACCTGTGAGAACAGGGACCTGGTTTTAGCCATGGACTGAGCTGGTTTCTGGGGCCTTTCTGATGCCCTGGAGTGGAAGTGATGGTCCATGTTACCTGCATTGAGGCCATTTGCCTGTCCTCCTAATTCTCCTCAGCCTCTTTTCATTTCTGATTGGCATTGTCCTGTCTCTTCTGGCTTTGGTGTAGCTACCAGATGAGGGAGCTCAGGAGAAGTGACTGCTGTCATCACATGGGTGCCAAACGAGGGTGGCGTACAAATTAGGATTGCATAAAGCTAGGAGAGCCCAGAAAACTCAGTTTATGAGCTGCTGCTAACAGAGAAATTATTAGTGTAATGTAAGCATCATATGGTTTATTCCCATAAAGTTAAGCAGTACTTGGATAAAGTTAACACCTTCCATATGTAAAAGATGAGGGTGGTTTTCTTTCTGCGTATGGTATTGGGTCCAGTGGAATGTATTCGCTAAGCTGTTGTTTTGACTTCGTACCACTGCAGTGGGGTTTTCATTCCAGAGGAGACATATTAAGAAAAGAAGAACATACATGCATATTTTATCAAATGCCTGTTCTGTGCTAGTGGTAGGGCTCAGTGCCGCTGTGGGCTTCGTTCCCTTGAATTCGTAACAAGTCCTATTTACCACAATGTCTCCTTTGGTTTCAATTGTATTTTGAGATAATTGTGGATTTACGTGTTGTAAGAAATAATACAGATCCTGTGTACCCTTGACCCTGCTTCCTCCAATGGTAACTAACATCTTGGTGTAACTATAGTAATCACAAGGGGCTCGTTGTTGTCACTGATGTTCCATTACCCTTTCTCAGGTTTCCCCTGTGTCACATGCATTTATTTGTGTATATGTACATGTTTGTGTGTTTTCTTTTCTGCTCAGTTTTATTACATGTGCAGATTATCATTTCCTTTTCAACAGGTTAAGTTATGTGAAATAACTGAAGTGTAGACCTGATTTGAATCTAGGTCTGTTCGACTCAGACTTCTGCTTCTTCAATCATAGTAATGACGGGAGTGCCTGAGTGGCGCCGTGGGATGACCATCCAACTCTTGGTTTCGTCTCAGGTCATGATCGCAGGGGTTGTGAGATTGAGCCCTGCATTGGGTTCCGTGCTTAGCGCTTAGTCTGCTAAAGACTGTCCCTCCCTCTGGGCCTACCTCCCCTTCTCTAAGATAAATAAATAAATATTTAATAAAATAATAGTAGTGATAATAACATTAATAACAACAATGGCTGAAGCTTACCATGTTACATCTGAAACAGACTACCATGAGCCAGGGCTGTTATACTATATTACCTCATTTAACCCCCCCCAACAACTATACCTCATAAATGATATTATAGTTGAATTAGTATCATTAATTAAACTAATCATATTACCAAGGAATAAGGAGTTATTTTTACTGCTCCTGAAATCAGTAATAAAATAGTGAAACTCTACCTTCTTTCTACATCATTTTCAACTTGAACCTCTGACCTTAACCACTGATGTTGGCAGTTGTCATTACTTTGTGTGTGTATATGTATGTGAGTAAAGTGAGACCTGTATTATTATACATTGAATGAGGTTGGGACACCTTAAAAATGTTTTTACAAAATTATAAATAAAAACTGGTTTTGGCAAAATGCCAGGTTTTTAAGGGAATAAATAAAAGCCATCAAGAATACTTAAGAATGTAATAGGGAGAATTTTTTTTTTTTCCTAGAGTATTATGGTTCTTTTTGGCCAAATGCAGGCCCAGGAATGTTTGCGTTTAATCTAAACTCTCAAGTTACAGATCCAGTTTTCCAAGCAAGAGCTGATACATTTGGTTGTGAATTATCAGTGATTATCAGAATATAATAATACTTTCGGAAGATAATAGACACACTAATCCACAGGCCATAGTCTATGGTTCTTTGCTGGTTAAATGTCCTGTAAAGCTGTCCCTCGGATGAACAACAGCACTTACTCAGCTCAGGAATAACAACAGCCCCGTGTGTTGTAGATCCCAGGAGGTCTTGGTGTTTTTGTAGACAGCAGACAGAAATAAAAGGAATTTTGTCCTTTTTACCTCATGTAATCCCCCTGGAAAGTGAAACATGTGCTAAGAGTTGATACTGACTCCTGCCAGGTCACCTCCCAGAAGAGTCCCTGGCAGGCACTGTCGCAACTTTTCTTGGACCGGAGTCTGACGGCTCCTGAAGGAGATGGATGGTTTATGCAGTAGGCTACTGTGGAACACGGCGCTACTGTCTACCCCAAGGAAGCTTCTAGTGAGGAGGCCCTCGAGTAAACCACGTCTTTCCCCCAACTCTTTCAGAGGGTATCACGTACGCCCAGATTAGAGTCCAATTTAAACTCCATCCTGTGTTGCTTGCTTGATTAATTTAAAGATTTTATTTATTTATTTGACTGAGTGAGAGAGCACAAGCAGGGGAAGCGGTAGAGGGAGAGGCAGGCTCCCCGTCTGTTGCGGGGCTCGATCCCAGGACCCTGTGGGATCATGACCTGAGTCGAAGGCAGACGCTTAACCATCTGAGCCACCCAGGCGCCCCGTTGTTGTTTTAAAAACAGGCGACTATGATGAAGCAGGACCAAGGATGGTTTAATCTGTCTTATTTTCTAGACCTTGATTTTGGATGTTAGATAACACAAATGTTTTCAAAGCTGTATATTATTAGGAACTATTTGGAAACCACAAAACCTTTTTTAATGGACCACTCTATCAATTTTCTGCTCTTCTAAGGAAGTTTTTCCTATTCATGACTCATTTCACTCTTTGGCAAACATCGAGGGAAATGTAATAACGATTAAGGAAAGGAATGTATGCTTTTTCTTCTTTTTCTGAAAGCTTGTACACATTTTCTGTCTCGGGTGATGTAAACTCAGACGCCTGGTAGAATGTTGACAACCGAAAGGTAAAAACTAGCCTCTTAATACTTAATTTGTTTGGGATTTAAAAATCAAAAAAGGTTCGTTTTCTGCTTGAGAGATGTGTTTTACTTGATGGCCCAGAATACAGATCCAGTAAAAACGACATGTTGCAGCCGTCATTTACACACACCTAAAGCGAAATTAATGAGCTCTCTCTGAGATTATGCTTTGTGTTTTATTTTCATTTTATAGGTCTGTATGAGCTGTTGGCTGCTCTGCCGGCCCAGCTGCAGCCACATGTGGATAGCCAGGAAGACCTGACCTTCCTCTGGGATATGTTTGGTGAAAAAAGCCTGCATTCACTGGTAAAGGTAAACCACGCTGATGTCAGGTTCTCTTTGCGGAAAAACATATGGAAAAATATTTTGAGCGCCATCTAGTAAACCAGAGATCAAATTGTTGCTGTCTGAAAACAAAACAGCCTTGTTCCATTTCCCTGACGGGCGTGGAAGTTGTTAAAGATTCCACCAAAAATACACAGATGATTTCACTTGATGGTGGTGATCTGGCTGGGCGTACTAATGCGGCCGGCATGGGCCTGTCCTTGTTTAGAAGAAGAATATGAAATAGTAGCAGGAAGGTTTAGACGCCTTATGGTCAACGTTCGCGAGCTGGAATTTAACTTAAATAAATAAATGTTCACAGCAAAAATTAGAAGGACTGTATTTTCTGAGGTTAAGGATGGCAGCAGTTCAATGGCCACATTAATTTAAAATAATTTCCTTTAACAAAGTCAACTGAAATTCAAGCTAGCTATTTCTTTCTTGGCACAACGCCATGGAAATGGCATTTTGTGTATAAATACGCTGAAGTAAAATACGAATCAAAACAAGCTTCTGGAGACGGTTTTGGTAAAGCATCATGCCATGGAAATGATCAGCCACCAGAAATGAGATCTTGCCACACAGCCATGCTGGGAGTGATCAGAACTCTTAAAATAGTAAAATGAGAACAAGAAGCTTACTGGAAACTATGCCACTTTTGCTTCTGGAAATATGAATTGCATTTTCTTTCATTTAACTCAAGCTGAAAAAAATAGTGGTGAGTCTTAGCTTGAGTCTGTAGGAGGTGGACACCTCTGGTGCCTTGGCTCTGTGTGAACCAACACTGAGGTCAGCTAAATGTGTTACACGGTTGTCCGTCGTGAGAGAAGTCTGTTATGGATGGGTGTGTTTGAAAATGAGCCACTTCTGGGGTGCTGTTGCTTCACAGGATAGAAGGATTTTTATGACATTTCCCCCCCCCCCCCCCTTGTCAGATTTACTGAAATTCACATGCCTTGAGCAACTCTCAAGAAATGAAAATGTTGAGATGTGACATTTTCCTAGCAATACATGTAAAGACTAGAGTCCTTTAGTTAGTTTTTATATCCTTGCCAAGGCCTCTTTGTGTTCTGAAAATTTTTTGGTTGTTTAGTTGCTCTGTTGGGATGTGTTAGAATTGGCTTGAGGGGCGTCTGGGTGGCTCAGATGGTTAGGCGTCTGCCTTCAGCTCAGGTCATGATCTCAGGGTCCTGGGATTGAGCCCCTCTGCAGGGGAGCCTGCTTTTCCTTCTCCCTGCACTGTTCCCCCTGCTTGTGCTCGCTTGCTCTCTGTCAAATAAATAAATAAAATCTTAAGAAAAAGAAAAAAAAGAAATGGCTTGAGATGATAATTGATGAAGTTCAGAATTTACTGAAGCAATCACGAACACATTCTTCCGTTGAATGTATGGAAGTTGTCTACCTCTGGATTTGTTCCAGTTGATTTGATCTAGAAGGAATAAAATGTGTTTCAAATGACATTGTCACCCCCTTAATCATTAAATAAAAATGCCCCAAACAATGCACACATGTGTGTTTCTATTTTTGTAATGTGGCTACCTTCTGTTTCCTTCCTAAAAGAGGGAAATTACAATATCTTTTGACAAGGTTGTTTGTGAGTTCCAGATAAAATAGTGAAGATCTCAGTTCTTTGATAGTTAATGTAGGTTAGGCAAATGTAAGCAGGCATTAAGTATTGAAAAAAATTAATTATCATGGCATGTGAAGGGCCAAAAAGTAGTGACAGAGATGGGTGTTCTTTCCAGTCAAAGAACACTAATGTTTTTTAAAAAAAGTCTTAGTTACACTAGTTCTTGAGTTTTAAGCATAGGTGGTTTTTCAAAGTAAATGCAAATAGTCAGTGGTCAGGAAGCATACAGTTACTGGTATGTGGTTTTAGAAAAGCAGTGAATAAATAAATCGATATTGCCACTATTTAAATAGCCCGGTAGCATGTGTACTGTTGCAAGTTATCTTTCAGTAATTGCTGTCAAACGTACTTTTAAAATAAGGTTTACTGTGTCCCTCTAGTCCGTTCTCTGTTTCTTACTCGTTCTCCCCACTCCAAGCTTCAATCACATGTAGACGTCAACTGTGTCCTTTGACTGACCCATTCTATTCATTTTCAAGTATGTAAAGCCCAAAATGCCTCCAGGAGGCAAGCGCATGGGATCGCACTTTAAGCAGCTGGAACAATCCTCTTAACTTTATTCCAAGTGCTTCTATTGAAGGTTGGAGGAGAGAAGCCTCCAACTTTTGTACATAAATCTTGGTAGAGCAAAAGGAATTGGAAAAGATGTCTTAGAGTGAATCAGAGTGTGCTTTGATGTCAGACTCTTTTGCCGGCAGTTGAAGCTGTTGGTGTGTGATTGAAAGATGGGTGAAGACAAAACTTGATTTTATTCTAGCACAGAATTTTCACAATTAGTCACCTTAGTTTATGATTTAAAAATAAAAGTGGTTGTTAAATCATCAGGGTTTTTTTTTTAATTTGTTTATTTTGTTTCTTAAGATTTATTTAAGAAAGAATAAGTGTGAGCCAGGTGGAGGGACAGGGGAGAGACAGTCTCAAGCAGACTCCCATTGAGTGCAGAGCCTGATGCAGGGCTTGATCTCACCACCTTGAAATCATGACCTGAGCTGAAACCAAGAGTTGGATGTTCAACCGACTGAGCTACCTGGGTGCCCCATCATGGTTTTAAATACTCGTAACTTTCTGGTCTGATGTAACATATACTTAAGGAGGGGCAGTTTGGGATTAGAGTGTATGACAGGTATGACATGCCACCGTAGGATGTGTGCCACACTCTGGCAGGCAGACTGCAGTTGTGAGCTTGTCACTGGAAAGGAAATACTATGATCCTAGAGGGTGTTAGCTGTGGATATTTTTTTTTTTTTTTGAAGACATTTCTGAATTGAAGGGTTGAGTAATCAAAACTGAGAGCATGAGCAGCTCCTGGGTGGCTCAGTCGGTTAAGCATATGCCTTCACATGATCCCAGGGTCCTGGGATTGGGCCCCATGTTGAGCTCCCTGCTCAGCAAGGAGTCTGCTTCTCCCTTCCCCGTGCTTATGCTCTCTTTCAAATGAACAGATAAAAAAATCTAAAAAAACCCAAACAAACAAAAAAACAAAATAAAAACAAAAAACCATGAGCATGAGATTTCAGAGGTATCCAAAGAAAGATGGTACAGATAGAAGACCTGAGAAATGTCATCTGTAAGGAGTGGCAAGACAGGGCTTATCAGTATTCATGTAACACGGTTAATGTGATCAGTAAGCAGAAAGCCACGTTTTGGACCCGTCATTTGCACATATGCACAACCATGAAACATACAGTTTGTGTTGCAGCCTCATTTCTAAATTTATCTTCTACCCTGGTGTTTTTTTCCTATTGAGATATCTTGACTTTATTTCTTTGTGTTGTTTGTATTTTTGTCATCCGGTTTATTTTAGAAGTAGATATGGCATAAAGATGTAGTTATTTATTTTAAATAAGGTTGGTACTTCTGTTTCCTCAAATTTTTGTTTGTATTTCACAATTGTGTTCGATTACCAGAATAAGAGTATCAAGTTTTTAGTACTTTTTCAGTAGTTGCATATGTTTTCTTTACCCTTTTGAATAGTTGTATGTATGTGTATGGGCAGGAGAAAAAAAGGTAGCAGCTCGAATTTTATCCTTGTTTTGGGGATTCTGAAGTATTTCAACAAGACTCAAGCTGATTATTTTCAAGAACGTTATCTTGATGTGGTTTTATTACTGTATTTCTGTGATTTCAATCTTAAAGGAGTCATGGTAATGCTCAACCAGACCCTTATCCCATTTAGTTAAGTAATTTTAACTCCCCCCCCCTTTTTTTTAAAGTAGGCTCCAGGCCCACTTTAATTTGAATTTAAGGTAAATAATCTTTTTTTTTTTTTTTTTTTTTTTGGTGCAAGTATGAACTATGCTGTATTTATATTTCTCTTTGTGAAATCTGGTGAGTCTAAGTGGGGTGCCATCAGTATTTAGACAGTAATGGTTTTGTAAGAGCTTTATTGATATCTGTATCAGACAGTTTACCCATTTAAAGTATACGTGCAGTGGTTTTAGGTGTCTTCACACCGTGGTGCAACTGTCACCATAATTCTTGAATAACTTCATCATGTTCCAGAAAAACCCCTCTACGATGTAGCTGTCATTCCCTAATCTCTGCCTCCTCCTACCCTTCCTCACTCCGGCCCTAAGCAACCACTCATCTGTTTTTTGTCTCTCAGTGTTTATCCATTGTGTACAGTTCATGGACATGGGGTCACACAATATGTGGATTTGTTTGTGACCGGCTTCTGTCACTTCGCAAATCCACGTGATAACACGTGTCTGTATTTCATACCTTCTTATGGCCCAGTAGTATTTCTGGATATACCAGTTTTGTGTATCTTTTTATTCAGTATTGGACCTTTGGGTTGTTTCCACCTATTGCCTGTTTTGAATGATGCTGCAGAGAAGTTTCACATACAGGGTTTTATGTGGACATGATTTCAGTTCTGGGGGGTACATGCCTTGGGGTGGAATTGCTGGGCACCTGGTAACAGTATCCTAATGTGGCTCTACAATTGTACGTTCCCGCCAGCAGTGTATGAGGCTTCTGATTTCTGTATCCTTGGGAACACTTTTTTTTTTTAAGAATTTATTTATTTATTTATTTGAGAGAGACCATGTACGGAAGCAGGGGACAGGTGACGGTGGGGAGTGGGGGAGGGGATCTCAAGCAGACTCCTCATGGGCACAGAACCTGTCCTGGGGCTCAATCTGACAACCATGACCATGGTCATGACCGGTGTCAAAATCCAGAGTCGGCTGCTTAACGAACTGAGCCACTGAGCCCGTGCTGCTAAACTTGGTTTTACATGGGTTTGTTATTCTCCCCTTTCTAGAAGGTGTGATATGGTACCTCCTTGTTGCTGTGGTTTGCATTTCCCTGATGATCGATGAAGTGTCAACTGATCATCAGTTGACATTTGATGCAA